CTAGTCTTGTTCTGAATCTCGTGTCATGCTAGTCTTTTGATAAGCATGTGGTGTCTCACAAAGGGGGTCGTGGTCTTCTTGCCTCGCGGCCATGGACTTCTTACTCATGTCCATGGCCTTCTTGTCTCACGACCATGTACTTCTTACTCATGTCCATGGCCTTCTTGGGACTTACACTTTGTTTGGGAAGAGGGGTAAATGGGAGGAGGGTGCAAATGTGAGGGGTAAATACAGTTTCCAACACATTTGCACCTGTTTGGTTAATTTGGAACAGTAGGGGGGTGCAAAACGGGAGTGCAAATTTACTGTTTCGGCTTACCCCCCAAATTGGGGTGCAAGGGAAGGAAGGAAGAGAGGGGGAGGGGGAATTATGGAATTTTGTTTTTCTAATTGTGTTATATATAATTATATCAATTTCTTCTTTTTATAAATATCATTAATGTAAACATTATTCGGGGTTGACCATTTGACTCGGGAAACAAGTTTATCAATGTTCGTCAAGTCAAATCTAGATCTCTTGGTTGAATCGAATTTGCATTGAAAATTAGAGATACGAGGTGTTTGTGAAAAAGATAGAGAGAAATTGTTTGGTTAACTCAGTTTATTTGAATAAATAGTTAAAACTTACAAATTCGAACGTGTTTGACTAAGTTTGACAATTTAAAATTAAACTAGACACGAAAACCCTATATAGGATGACCAGTTACAAGTTGAGCTTCGAGTTTTGAGATCGCTCGATCAATGATTATACAATTGTCATAATTAATTATTATTTGAGCATTATTATATAATAACTATTTTTAGTAAAGTATATTTATTATTATATAATAATATTTATTTTATTATTTTGTGATAATATTTTAAAATTTTAAAATCTATTTTGTAATCTAAAATTTATTTTTAAAATCTATTTTAAAATAATATAATTACTTACTTTTCACTCTATTTGCACCCCCCTACTTTTTCATCCAAACAACAATTTACCCCTCCACTTACACCCCCCAGCAATTTGCACCCCCAACAATTTACCCCTCAACTTGCACCCTCCTGCAATTTGCACCCCCCTTGTTGCCAAACAGAGCGTTAGTCACTAGTGATATAATGCTCCACCACCACGACCTTCTCATTCGTGTCCATGGCCATCCTCGTGAGGTGGCATGGACCTCTCAATCATGCACAAGGCCCCTCTCATGAGGCGGCATGGCCTTTCCAAACTTAGTATTTTCAATCATTCGGTCTTATTGGTGAGGCGGCATGGCCTCTTCGTTGAGGCGGCATGGCCTCTCTTTAGACTTAGTGGCTTGGGCCTAAAATCAATATCCATAAGGCCCAACTGAAACAACATTAATTGTTATAATGGGTGTGGCCTTATAAACTCCTTGATTATCTTGTAACTCACCAATGTGGTACAAGACAAAATTTATGGTGTAAACACAATGATTATAAAAAAACAAAATAATGGTGAAGCAGCTAGTCCGCCATGGCTGAAACGAGGGAAGAAAAAGGCTCGAACCTGTGAGAGACCGAACAATTAATTGTGTTTTTCCTCTGCTTTCCTGCGTACATGGCTGTTAAGTGTTAACCACGGGTTTTAAGTTTTAACCGCTCGTTAAAGCCAGTAAAATTTGGGATAATTTAAAAGGAAAGGATAAAAAGTCATTTTAATTTTTAAATTAGGGCGCTTAGTAAAAATTAGGGCGGCAATTAGCAATCTCCTTTGTTATTGTTAAGGGCTCATGTTTTATTGTCAGACTTAACGGCAAGTGTTGCTGACATATGACACGTGCCGCGCTGCCGTTAATTGGATGGCTGGGCCGGAGTTCTAGGCGCAGGATTCTCCGAGCGGCTGTTTGTGAGATAAAGTAGATGCAGCTTGCAGGTTATGGACGTGTCGGTGGCTCAGACAAATCAAGGAAAATGAACCGAACGGATTAAAGCCAATTAAAGCTTTATTTCCATTAAAGGGACCACGAGACGATCAACAGAAATTGGCCCATTTAGCAGCTTTGTCGTTCAATGGATTTTACTGAGCTGTGGGCCTACGATGAGATTGATCCGTAGCTGCTAAAAGCCAATAAGATTTTCTGAAAAATAATGTGACCAATTAAGCTCCTCCACTAACATGACAAACTATCACTAAAGCTAGTTTGGGCACTCGCAGAAAAGGATGGCAACAAAATCCGAACCCACGGATACCCATCCGACCCAACCTGGTCAACGCGGGTAAAACCCGTGTTGACGGGTTTTAGACCAGGTTCGGGTTTAAACCCGCTACACTATTCATCGGGTTGGGTTTGGGTTTAGGTAAATCCGCTCCATGGGTACCCGCCCACACACATATAATTACTTTCCCGGTATATTTAATATTCTAAATAATATATCTTCCTTAAACAACTAATATTCTATATGTTTGTGGAGACATGTATAATTTGTTCTTTCTAATTGTTTAGAATGAAGTTGATATTATGAAGTGGAGAGTGAAGAAACTTAGTTGACGAAGAAGAAACTTTCAATTAATCTTATTGTTTACATATGTTTATCTTTAATTTTGAACAATTTGTATTGATCATTTGCGGTTTGCTTGTATGCTCTAGATTGGTGTTTTTTGTATGATTAATTTGTATGAGAAAATTGATGTTAAACTTTTATTTTGAAAGAAACTTGTTATTGTAAATTTTTACCACAAAAACTCACGGGTACCCATGAACCCGCGGATACCCAGCGGGTTGGGTTGGTTTTTTGAGTTTTTCAAACCCAACGGGTTTTACCCCAGGTTTTTTTGGCGGATAAACTCATGAGTTTGGGTTTGACAAAACCCGCCCCAAACCGACCCATTGCCATCCCTACTCGCAGATGCAGTGAATTGAAATTCCGAATTTGTATACACTCCCTCACAATACCTTTTTTTTAGTGAACCGATCAAGTCAGTAATCTTATGGTCAGTAACCATGAGTAATCCGTCCACATCAGCATGATATCAGTATCACTCTATCTGCTGAAAAGTCTTTCATTTTTTCCCCTTTAATTTTTAACAGGCGATTTATCTCAGGCTTTAAGTCGAATTTTTTTTTGCACAGATAAACCAGATTAAATGTGCTCTTTAAAATGAAATCCACTTATATATATGTTTAGTAAAAAAAATTGAATAATTTTTTACCTGTCATTATCATATGATATGCTCCTATTTAATACCATATGTTAAGAAAGCGTACCATGATGGTATGAGCATACCAATATGGTAAGAAGGTTGAATACATGATAGTAGGAGTATACTAACTGTCATTTACGACTTTCATCATTGTTTACTACAAGTTACCACCCACATACCATAGTGGTAAAATATGGTAATTTTTTCCAGTATTTTTTTCACCCAGAAATTTGTAGATCTAATACATCATGATGAACTCGTTCCTTCTGAGCAAACGTTTTCAAAAACGACTTAAAAACAAAAAAGTTACCATATGTTATGTAGTTGGTAAAAAAAAAAGTTTCTCGAAATATATTGAAAATTGATCTCATAAGAGCCGATTAAGAAAACTAGGGAAAATAAAATGTCTTTAATTGACAACCCTTAGATCTGAATTTTCTGGACCCACTTAAATCTAAAGGTTCAGATTTAGTTACTCATAGGTCAGTAACCAATGGTTACTGACCCTATCCTAAGCCTTTTGTTCAAATAATTTGAGTGACGGGAAAATGATTAGTGAAACAAAGTGCGACTAGATAAAGGGTTTTTTTAGAAGTCTCGGATTTTGTCTTGGAGTTAGAGTACCAGATCGTTTGGTGCAAAATGAATCTAGAATTCATTTCGTTTCAAAATGAATTCCTGTGTAGAATTCTATGTCAAATGAATTCATATGTTTGGTATATGCTATTAGCGTTACAATCAAATTCTTGTCGACGTTCCTCATACTGCATGAATTGGCACCAAATAATATATGTAGAAGTAATTTTGTTAATAAATGAAAATAATTATGTCATTTTTATCATAATTGTTAAACACTTGTGGAATTCATTTGCAAATTCCATCTCAATTCATCGGAATTGCTATAACTAGTTCTAACTCCATAGAATTCAAAATTTAGAATTGAAAAAGAATTTTTTTTGTTGGATTAAGCAAGGAAGATCAAGTCAGAGGTTGCATCTTGACCGTTGCTCAATCTTAGCAGTCTCAAAAGGAAACTATGTTCTGTCCTGCAGGGTTTCCTTTTCTGTATCCAACGGCTAGAAAACTTCAGCTATTTATAGGCGAAGCTTTCAATATGTGGAAGGTACTTTGTAGAAGCGAGTAGTGGTATAGGGCTGAGCTAGGATATTACAAAGGGTTGACAAAACAGGGGTAGAGGTTCTGCTTTTTTTAAGGCAGACAGATCAAGAGTGATCTGGGGTTCTCTGTTTTCTTCACTTGTGTTTATCTTTGTTTTAAAAAACCAAAATATAAACAAGGGTCTCCCAGACCATATTCTGGGACGTGGAAGTAAACCATTGCACTTGGGCGAACCATGTTAAAAATGTCTTGTGTCCTTTATCTTTTCTGCATTTTCATTTCGCTGTGTTCTTCTCTTGTTCTTGAGGAACTCTATTCCTTGATCGGTCCCTGATTAAGTTCTGGGTTTCAACCACGTTTCTGTTTCAAGAAATTGAAGGGAATTGGGCTCAATCTGAGTTGAAACCAGTCTGACTTATTCAGCCCGAGTTGGGCCTCAGTTTCAGTCCGACCCACTTATTTGTCGATATGTTGAAAAAGGAACAGACGGCGACATTTCCCATTCGTCTTTCCTTTCCATTTTCATTCATTGATTCTTCTTCCTCTGCCCTCTGACCTAAGTGACTCCGAATTTTCAATTGGTATCAGAGAAGGTCCTTGACGAAGCTAACTACTGCCAAGGGTTTCGATCCAATGGCTTCTGGTTGCTTCGGTCATGCTGCTATCAATCATTCGCTAATTTTCACCGGTTAAAATTATACCGCGTGGAAAAAGAGGATGAAACAATTCATGTGGGGAGTTGAAGAAGAACTTTGGTTGGTCATGCAGAATGGCCCAATCGCGATGAATGATGAAGAGCAAAGTACGTGGTCAGCTGCGCAGAAGAAGAGCGCTCAACTGAACCAGCGAGTTATGCTCGTGCTGCAATCGGCTATGAATCTAGACGAAGCCGATCAGGTAGAAAATTGCTCAACATCCATGGAAATCTGGAGAGCCTTGGAAAGCACTTATGAAGGTACCTCTAACATTAAAGAATCTCGCATAGACCTCTTAGTGCATGAATATGAAGCTTTCTGCATGATTAAAGGTGAAGGAATTCATGAAATGTACTCTAGGTTAACTGTTTTGATAAACAAATTAACGGGGCTAGGAAAAAACTTATCAAACTATGGATTTAAATAGAAAAAATTTCAGATCTTTGCCTAGAAAATGGCTTTCTAAATGTACTGTTATTGAAGAAGCTAAGAACTTGACCACTTTACCTATTAATGAGCTTATAAGATCTCTCATAAGTCATGAACACGTTTTAAAACAAGTTGGTCAAGAAGATGAAAAGCGGAGCAAGAACTTAGGTTTCAAAACTAAAATTGTGGATTATGATAAGGAAAGTGACGAAGAAAATGAATTTGATAAGGAATTTGCTCTTGTTAGCAAACGATTTCATAGGATGCTGAAGTATAAAAATGAACAAAAACAGCGTCTAGATGAGTCTAGAAATGGAGGCTATGATCGTACTAAAAGTTTCTCCCAAGCTAGGCTGCTACCCCAGCAGACTAGAAAATATGAAATAGGGCAACAGGAAAGAGAGCCACAAGCTTGCTACAAGTGTGGCAAGTTCGGACATATCAGAGCATACTGTCCTCAAATGATGAAAGCTAAGGAGAAAGCAATAAAAGCTTACTGGAGTGATTACGACACAGAACAAGAAGAACTTGAGTCTGATAATGAGGCTTTCATGGCTAAAACAGAACCTGAAGAGAACGAGATAGATTCCAGCTCTATAAATGAGGACTACAAATGGTATCTTGACAGTGGCTGCTTCCACCACATGTCTGGTAAGAAGTCCCTATTCTCTTTTTTAACTTTGGTAAGTGGAGGTAAGGTTTGGTTTGGTGATAATGGGTGTGGAGTTATTGGATTCGGAACTGTTGGAGAAAAAACTATGTCGTCTTTTAAAAATGTTTTATTTGTCGAGAGGTTAAAACACAATCTTTTGTCAATAAGTCAGCTATGCAGCAATGGCTATCATGTCGTGTTTGAATCAGAGACAAAAAGATTATGTTTGTTGGAAAGCGATCAAACAACATGTATGTCATTGATCTAACTAAATCCAATCTTGTTAGAGGTGTTCCTGCTTTAAAAGCGAAAACTGACTTCTTCTGTGAGACGTGTGTTTGTGGCAAACACTCTAGGAAATTCTTCAAACCTAAGGCTGGCATTACAACTCATGAAATGTTTTGAGTTAATTCACATGGTCTTGTTCGGTCCCTGTAATGTCACAAGCCTAGGTGGTAAAAACTATGTTTTTGTGCTTGTTGACGACTTCTCTCGATTCACCTGGGTGTATTTTCTTACTCATAAGGATGATACCCTTTCAAAGTTCAAAAAAAAATTCATTATTTTCTGATAAAATCAAAACCATCGAAAGTGACAACGGAGGTGAATTTGTCTCTGAAGACTTTGAAATCTTTTGTAATGAGTCGGGTATTGCTCACACTTTTTCTGCTCCTAGAACTCCTCAACAAAATGGAGTTGTAGAAAGAAAAAATCAGATCCTCATTGAGTGTGCTCGAACTATGTTACTTGAGTACAATCTTCCTAAATTCTTTTGGGCTGAGGCGGTGAGTACAACTTGTCTTTTTATTAATCGTGTTTTGATTAGAAAAGGGTTGAATAAAACTCCTTATGAGATTTTCAAGAACAAAACTCCGAACCTAGCTTACTTTCATCCCTTTGGTTGTCCTTGTCATTTCTGAATACAAAGGATAAACTTGGAAAATTTGATGCTAAGTATGACAAAGAAATATTTCTGGGATACTCTATAAAAGGCCAAGCCTATCGTGTCTATAATAAACGCACTCAGAAAGTGGAAGAATCTGTTCATGTTAGATTTAACGATTCTGACTCTTGTTGTAAGGAATCTGAGCAGGATTTACAGGAATATGATTTGCTGGAAATGGTGTGCACGATCACTGAAAAACCGAGGATGCCACCCTGAATGAAGCATCAGACTCCAGTACAACGAAAATTCGGGCAGCAGCTGATAGTGAGGGAGAACCCTGTATTAATTCTGTTTCAGCACCACCTCACATTCAAAAGCGTCATCCAGCAGATCAATCATAGGTAATGTGAATGACGGTCTTCGAACTAGAGGTAAGTACACTCCAGGCCAATATGCTTATGTCTCTCAATTTGAACCAAAAAATTACAAAGAAGCAATTAAAGATGATGAATGGTTCTTTGCTATGGTTGAAGAATTAACACAATTCAAATCCTTGCATGTTTGGGATCTTGTTCCTCGTCCTATAAACCAATCTGTGATTGGAACTAAATGGATTTTTAGAAACAAATCCGATGAAGATGGTATTTTTGTACACTACAAAGCCAGATTAGTTGCTCAAGGGTATTCACAGGAGGAAGGGGTTGATTATGATGAAACCTTTGCCCCTATTGCTCGGATAGAGTCCATACTTTTGTTATGTGCTTATGCTTGTTTTATGGGTTTTCGGTTGTTTCAAATGGATGTCAAAAGTGCCTTCTTGAATGATGATATTCAAGAGGAAATATATGTGTCACAACCCCCAGGTTTAGAGGATCATCAGTATCCTAACCATGTTTACAAACTTAGAAAAGCCTTGTATGGTCTTAAACAAGCTCCACGAGCTTGGTATGATAAACTTACTTCATTTCTTCTTCAACATGGTTTCGTTCAAGGATAAGTTGACAAAACTCTTTTTATAAAACACGAATCAAATGATATTGTGTTAGTTCAAATCTATGTGGATGATATTGTGTTTGGAGCTACTTGCCAAGATATGTGCTCTGAGTTCTGCAACTCTATGAAAGAAGTCTTTCATATCAGTTTTTTCAGACTCCAAATTAAGCAAACCAGCACTGGTACTTTCATAAGTCAGACTAAGTACGTATCTTCTATTTTAAGCAAATTTGATATGATGAATTTTAATTATAGTCCTTCCCCTATGGCTATTAATGTCAAGCTTGACAAAGATGAGACTGGTTTATCAGTTGATGAATCTAAGTTTAGGGGAATGATTGGATCATTGCTTTATCTAACTGCTAGTCGACCCGACATACAACATAGTGTATGCTCAATTATGTGCTCGTTTTCAGTCTGATCCCAAAGAAAGCCATTTGTCAGCAGTCAAACGCATTTTCAGATACCTTAAAGGTACCATGGACGTAGGACGGTGGTATCCTAAACATAATTCGTTTGATCTTGTTGGGTACAGTGACTCAGACTTTGCTGGCAGTTTAACGGATAGAAGGAGCACTTCGGGTAGCTGTCAGTTTGTAGGAACTTCCCTAGTTTCATGGTCCTGTAGAAACAAGGGGCAGTCGCCCTCTCCACTGCAGAGGCAGAGTACATTGATGCTGGCAGCACTTGCACTCAACTCCTTTGGTTAAAAAGTCAATTACAGGACTATGGATTCACTATGTCTAGTATACCTTATCTTTGTGATAATACCAGTGCTATTTGCATGTCTAAAAAACCTGTGCAACACTCACCATTAAACATATTGAAGTTAAATACCATTTCATATGTGATCTAGTTAGTGCTGGCACGATAAATCTCCAGTATATTAATACAGAATTCCAGCTGGCAGATCTTTTTACCAAACCTCTTTCATCTGATCGATTCACCTTCCTGTGTTTTGAGATCGGTATAAAATCTCTTGCCACCATTACTGCTACTAAGGGAACCTAGCCTCAGCTTGGTTGCCTCTTTTGTTTGTTGTAATTTTACTGATTTGACTTGCCTTTTCTCGGTTTTTTGGATCTTTTCTTTCCCGCTCCTGCAATTCTTGGCTTTCCTTGTTTTGTTTGCTATTTATGTCTAATTGGTTGTCCTTCCTTTTATTTGTTCTAGGTTTAGCCTTTATATTCTCTTGGTAGTCTTCGTTTCCTCTGTACTTTTTGCCATCATGTTCCTCTCCTGAGTCGGCCATGGTATACGCTTTTGCTTTAACCTATTCTGGAACCTTTTTCCATTAGCCTGTTCTAGCAAACTACCATCGCCACACCCAGTCCTTTGAAAACCGTCCCATCAACCCTTCCACTGTCCTACAACTTCCAGATTTTGTACCTCTTTGGTTAGATGTGATGCCTTAAATCATGAACTTAGGCTGGGAGTTTATATTGACACTTGAAGCATCTTCCACTCTTATCTGTCCTGAAGCTGTAAGGTTCTTCTTTTCCAATCTTTGCTATTTTGGTCTTCAATCTCGTACCTTAAGCTCTCTTGTCCACGCCACATGATTACTCTTCCCCCTCATGATATTCGGCGCCTACTCCATATTCCTGCCTTTGGAGAGGCCCTTGCTCATCTTGATGAACTTGCTTTATTCAATTTTGATATAGTCACAGAGGCTGTTCATCTCACTAGTCATGAACCAGATCAAGTTCTCACATTTTCCCAAGCCTTGTTGCTCCCTTCCTTGCAAACTTTTCATTATATTCTCACCAGGGTGTTTCTTCCTCGCTCTATCTTCCTTGATCGTGTCCTCCCTCTTGATTTATGGATCCTTTCCCTTGCGGTTGATGCTGTTCCATTCGACTTCTTTCATCCTCTGTTTGGGGCTCTTCTTCCCTTCATTGATCATAACTTTCATGCCCCTCTCCCATTTGCTGCTATGATTACCCGTCTTCTGCTCGCCTTGCCACTAGACCTTTCGCCGTATCGCACTGAATCTCCTTATCTATGGCTTGCTGCGATGATGTTCTTAATGAGATCAGGATTGCGATTGAGGGGGAGGATGATCCCTTTATACACTTGATCAGCAGCGACTCAGAGGCAGAAGAAGAGGCTGAAGCTGGGGAAGCACCAGACAATGAAGTGGCGTCCTTTGCAACTGCTCTTCAAGATCTCTATGGCACAGATTCTGAATATGACGAGTTCAAGTTCTCTGATGATAGTTCAAGTCCCTAGTTTGTTAGAAATTGTTGAGAGACCTGTTATGTGAGATGTTATGTTCTTTTGTTCTCTTTGAACTCAGGGTAACTTTGCTATGTGAGATGTTTTTGTCTGTGTTCTTTGAACTCAGGGGGAGTCCTGAGTAACAGTGGTGAAGTACTGTTTTTGCTCAGGGGGATTTTAATCTTGATATGCTATCTTACTTGTCTGTGGTCTTTATAATGGTATTGCTGCTTGATCCTGTGTGGAAAGAATGTTTTTTGTATGCAGGAGTAAAGCAATCGGCAATCTCCAACTTAGGGGGAGATTGTTGGATTAAGCAAGGAAGATCAAGTCAGAGATTGCCTCTTGACCGTTGCTCAATCTTAGCAGTCTCAAAAGGAAACTATTTTCTGTCCTGAGGGGCTTCCTTTTCGGTATCAAACGGCTAGAAAACTTCGGCTATTTATAGGCGAAGCTTGCAATCTGTGGAAGGTACTTTGTAGAAGCGATCAGTGGTATAGAGTTGAGCTAGGAAATTACAAAGGGTTGACAAAACAGGGGTAGAGGTTCTGCTTTTGTCAAGGCTGAACAGATCAAGAGTGATTTGGGATTCTCTGTTTTCTTCACTTGTGTTTATCTTTGTTCTTGTTCTTTCGTTTTAGAAAAACCAAAATATAAACAAGGGTCTCCCATACCATATTCTGGGACGTGGAAGTAAACCATTGCACTTGTGCGAACCACGTTAAAAACTTCTTGTGTCCTTTATCCTTTCTGCATTTTCATTTCGCTGTGTTCTTCTCTTGTTCTTGAGGAACTTTGTTCCTTGATCGGTCCCTGATTTAGTTCTGGGTTTCAACCACGTTTGTTTCAAGAAATTGAAGGAAATTGGGCTCAATCTGAGTTGAAACCAGTCTGACTTATTCAGCCCGAGTTGGGCCTCAGTTTCAGTCCGGCCCACTTATTTGTCGATATGTTGAAACGAAACAGACGACGACATTTCCCATTCGTCTTTCCTTTCCATTTTCATTCATCGATTCTTCTTCCTCTGCCCTCTGACCTAA